AAGCCTTTAAAGAAACTCCATGAAAATAAGATTTGAAAAAGATGCTTGTGTTATTAGACTGTAGTTGAGACCTTAGCTGTGGCGTTGGCCCTGACCTCAGGACTGCTGTTGATGTCCACTGTTTCATACACATGTTCGTAAACCTGAGGAGACATTTTTGGACAATATATATAAACTCTTAAGGTTGACATCAAAGGACAGAATGAGCTAATGCCATCACACAGTTAAGTGTTTCAGGAATAACATGTGTAAGTGTCTCACTTCTCTGACAGCGTTACAGAATTCACTCTGTAAGACCCTCTGCAGTGCCTGCAGCTTCTGGGGAGGCACTTCCCCTGTCCTCTGAAGCTTATCGAGCAGTTCAACAGCACGGTTAATATCTGTCAACAATAACACACACACACATAGATTTCATTAATATCTGCAAACGGAGACTATTACATGGGTAATAACTGTTTGCTGAATGAACATCAGTACTCCATCTGTACGAACGTAAGACTACAAAGTAATAAACTATGAATAAGCTTAGTGAATGATGGGTGGTGACACTTAATAAATGTCAGAAATGACTTACTGTTAGGTTCATTTCTGTCAATTAACATAAATAAATGTTGACACATTAAGCTTGTCTTGGCTCATGGCACTGTTTATTTATCATAAATAAAATTAACTACTGCAGACGCCTCCACTGTATTATGCTCCAAAGCAAGATATACTGCACCTTCATTCAGTACATTTCAATGCCAGCATATCATTAACTTCCTGTTTTACAAATGAGTGACTGCCTCTGCCACCACAGAGGGGATGGGACAAATATTATCAGCTGCTCTGTCATAATTAATAACCACGTGAAATTACATTAATACGGACAAACACAAGTGTGAGACATGTCCTCCAATATTCTGTTAAATTTTTCCCATTAAGTTCAATATTGTCTTAAGTTATCTAAATTAAAACAGTGAGAATAATGAGTTGTTGTCATTCTCTCCATCTGTGCTAATTGCTACTGTAGCTAATAATAATTAAATAGCTTCCTTTAGCATTTCAGTGTACCAAACAAAGAGAGTATTAAACATTAATGTACACTGCTTGTGTTTTTCTTCAGCCACAGTAACGTTAAACCTTAAATGTGTGGGGGCTTGTTAAAATAAAGACCACAGTGTGTTAGCAGACACAGCACGAGCTAAAGTCAGCATTCTATTTAAAGGAAAACTGAGGTTGTAAACAAGTCTACATCGTTAATATAAATATTTCCTCCTACCCATCCTTGCTGCCGGTTGTGATCGAAATGGTGCAATTAAGTGTCGCTTATAAAGCCTAAATTATATTATGCTATCAAACGTTACACCTTCAATATACAAGCTAACGTTAGGTTAACTGATCGGTCTGTTGTTACTAATATTAGCCAATTAGCTAGTGCGCTAAGTAAAACAATGTAGCCCTTATAACCATCGTTACTTTAGCTCAGTGCATTAGACATTTACAGTTTTATAAAGCCATAAACATCGGCTATCAACAAGACATCCTTAACGCAACGTTGGTCGCTTAAATAAAAGAAATTTTGCTGTCAAAAGCAACTGCTGGCTCTGTGTGGCTAACGCTAGCTAAGCTAGCTTAATGTCTCCATGGATCAAAACGAATATTTCTAAGCTAACGCTAGCTAGCCAATTAACTTTACCTCTTTCCAACCGCACGGGCTCCCCAAGCGATGCCATCCTGGGAATGATTGGCTATTTGGTGTCAAGTAGATATTGCGTTAAACGCTAGATATGGAAAACTAAATATGGTAATCCTGGCTAACGTTACGGGCGCTTAACCGAGACGATAAATCAGATTAGCAAAGTTAGCCGGCTAGGCTAGCTGCCAGTGTCATGGTGCGTTCAGGTAAGCCCCGTAAAGTGAAACACCCTGCGATATCATCGTGTTGTTTTTCATTATCACTGGATGTTGATAAGCCAACACTGAAGGCCTCTTCCCTAACTAACATGAGTCAGTCAAAAACAGTATTTTCTTTAGAGAATTAACAAACAATACAGAATGTATTAGGTATTTATGTAATACCTTATAAATGCAGGTATAGCACTATTTAATATACAATAAATACTGTCTAAATATCAGTATATCACCATATCACCCATTGCTTAGTGAAGTGGACAATGGAGGTTTTATGTTGAGGATTCTTCCTTCTTTCACATTGAGTGCCCTGGTGCATATTTCATTTCTGAGGTGACATCCCACTCTAAATGTTGCATCCTGCCCGTGGTGTAGTGGTAGTTGATGAGGTGGGTTCTTTGGTAGATGGGTAGATTACCAAGGCAGAGGTGGGTATACCTTCCTGTATATTCCACTGGCTTTTTGACTGATAGGTGGGTGGATGTACCCCGTATACTGTATGGAGTACAGTGACTCAAGTTTAAGTATAGGTATTGGGTTGTGTAACTTCTCTGCAATGTTGGCATGAAATATGGAAAGGTGTTGTCCTTTGGTGCCTTGTGTCCACCCTACTGATGTCTTATGGGCCAGCATCCAGGTAAAAGGTGCCCACTATGATCCCAGTCTAATATCACTATTCAGCATCGCACATTCAGCAATCACCTGTGTATTAGTGCATCATTCATTCATCAGCCGTGCTGCACCTCTACATGGACTCCCACAGCTCAAGGGATTGTTATATAATGTCCTGAGTATTGGTGACAAGGGACCAGCCAGAAGCTTCTTTGGCTCTTTGCTGACACCTGGGAGGAATGTCCTCTCTGCTGCCCTCCGCTGGCTGACTGCAGCACATCCTCACACTCCAGCACATAAGTCTGCAGAACACTGCTGCTGCACTGCTCCCTGTGGGCTGAAACTTTCAAGCATGATTCACCTCTGACCACACCCTGGTTGGTGATGTGTTTGCCTTTGACAGCTGATGAAATACACCTGCTGTGACGTCACTAAGCGGGACGTGGCCAGGGTCACAGCACACTTGAATGTAATACCCTTATTTAGTGGAGCAGCAGCATTTATTGTCCTTTTTTTGCTGCAATAGATTCATTGTGTTTGTAAAATTGTTCTTTTTTTTCTCTTTTATTTTAGTGTTTAGCTTCAGTTGCAACTCAGGGTCAGAGAAATACAACATCATGCTGTAAAATCTACTCACATGCATGATTTATGATCATAAAAGACAGTATGGGCTTTACTCTGGCTTGATTTCAGAGTCACTTTGTTCTTTACTTTAATAACTGTGTGATTAGTGGATGGCAGTTTTCTTTAATTTAAGCTTTGTTATACAAAAATACCTCAAAGCTTATACTCAGGATAGACTGAGCAGTTCAGAATACCTCATCTAAAATACACAGCAAAAGGATTGATTCATTGTCCTGCATGCTGAGGATGTGTTAGTGCTCAGACACGTTGTTTGAATTTTATGAATTTATTCCAATTCTATCTTAAGGGGGATTTTCTGTGAAAAGCAAGTCTTCCCGTACAATAACTTAATTCTAACTCGGTCTGTGCAGCCATGACCTCCGTACCTTTTACAGGGAGATTCATGACAGTAGATCATTCGAGAGACAGTACTGCATGCTTGTCATCTTTCTCAGAGTTGCTGCAGAGACTCTATTCGTTTATGCTTCTGTAGAAGAAAAGTAACTCACAGCATCTTCGTCAGCCTCCTCTGGAGGATCCAAGACAAATAGAGAACAAAGTGGGACATCTTCGTGAAAATCTTGTTTCCAAATCTCCAAATGCCGGATGTGGTTTTCTTCAGAGGTCACACTTACCTTCAGGTTGATGACGAAGAAGTAAAATGAGATGGTTGGATCACGTGACACAAATGAAGCTTTGTATCTTCTCTTTCTTGGAATATGTCATATTATAGGTATCTGCAAGTGCTTTATGATGTTAAGATGAAAAGTTGAGCAGATTTTATTGTCATCCGACTACGACCTTAAACTATGGCATCTAGACTTGGCAAGCAAGAGGTTCTCACTATGAGTAATAATCTGCTGGAGGGAATGTTGACACGAAGCTGCAGTCATCTTTTAACCCAGATACCAAACCAGGCTTTTCCTTCTGATCAAATGTGCAGCTGAGTAAAATCTGTGATGATTGTCCTTTTGTAGAACATCTGAAGATGGGATTACCATGCACCGATGAGAGAATGTTGGGTGTGTATGTTTCTAATGCACACGGATGCCATGTATGTGTGGGTGAATGCATCACAGTCAAGTCTGTGCTTGTGATGTTATGTTCTTGTAGTTCTTGCAGCTGGCGCAACAACTAAGTAAATTACTGAAAATCTGTGTGTAAACACCAAAGTATCAAAAGACATGCAGTAGGTTTGTGTCAGTAATGTGCTGGTGGGGAGCAGGAGCTGATTCAGGAGCATTTTGCCACCGTTTACCTCCTCAAAGCTGCAAACTATACATCGTTTCCACCCACACCACTGTAATATTGCTATCACTATGTATCACCCAATGCATCGACTCCTGTGCCACTGAAAATACATGATTTTGTCGCAGCCTGTTAAATATATCGAACATCCTGGTCATTTGTGATTTCAATTTGGCTGCTCTTTGGCAGCATTCGTGTGCGTGCATGTGTGTGTGTATGTGCCTGCCTGCCTGCATAATAAATTTTACCCTGTCTTGAGGTGCACTATTGAAACTTTATCGACATTGATTTTGTTTTTCAGTTGCCTATAGTCATTTTTATTTCTTCAAATATTTCAGTTTAATATTGCAAACAACTTCACAACATACAAAATGAATAATATTAACCCAGAAACATGTCAATGAATAGATTTTATATATATATATATATATATATATATATATGTGTGTGTATATATATATATATATATATATATATATATCTTGTCCTCTGGTGGGGATAAAAAAATAAACAGCAAAGCTTTGACAACAGCACCTTGACATAGTATGTAAGTCCAACATTACCTTGAGAAGTTTAGAACAGTAAACAGATAAATTACTTGAGAGGAAAATTGTTTTCTGCTGAATATGTAAACGGAATGTTTTTTTTTTGTTTTTTTTTTGGTCAGCATCATATCCTTTTTTTCTGTAAGTGGAGAATTTCTCGATTCACAATTGAAGCAGCATGCAAGCTTTTGAAGATGGAACTGTCCTCTCTCATTCCTTGCCTGTTTTTTTTTCCTTCATTTTTATAATTCTTGGCAACGTAAACAAATCACAATGTCTTGAGGGATGTGATATAGTAATTTAAACTGGGCGCAAATGACTGATCAGATTTTTTTTAATTGTTTACAAGGTCATGAATATGTTCAATAAATAGACTGTAGTATCACTTTTACTGTATAAACTTCATCTTTTTTTACATGCAGTCCATAAAATTTTCATTTGACGGAATAATTTACCCTGTTATGTATATATACAAATAGATATTTTCTCTTTATTCTCTTTTTTTAAACTCTTCAATAAAATCTATACATTTTATACACTATCTCCCTCTTTTAATGGTCAATGTGCATACACATGAAGTGTCTATCCTTATAAACCGCCAGCCAATCTTCTTTTTGCTATCCATGGTAAGCGCTCGCACGTAGGACTGGGTTGTCCTGCATTGGGAATTATAATGCCGCTTGTCTATTCCTCTGCAGCCCTCCTTTGTGTACCCCATGGGGTTGCATTTGGTCTCATAAAAGTATTGCTTCAGTTGGCCATTGGGGACAGGGACCTTTTCCATGACGGTAACTGTCTGCCCAGACATGTCTATTGCCGTCTTTTTATCCACAGCTGTCACCCACTGGCTAATACTGTCACACACACTGAGCTCTCCGCGCCGCGAGGGATCGGAGTGTCGCCGCACCCTCATGGACATGTTAGCGGCATCCAGATAGTTTTTGTATTCCTCCAGGAGAAAGAGCAACGGCGGCTCCAAAGGCACTTGGTTGCTGATCATCACCCGCGAGTCGTACAGGTCGACATCCTTGGTGTCTGCGGCAACCACAGAGGACGGGCCCCCACCTCCCTGGCTCTTATCAGCCCCCTGTCCCAGCTGTGCCGCCTCTCCCTCCACCTCCAGCAGCTCCTCTATCACCTGCTCAAACGTGTCTGTGAGTGAGGGCAGTTCCCCGCGCTGGCCTGGCCCACCACCACTCTGTGGAGTCCCATGGCCTCGTGCGGCCGTCGCAGCAGCGCCCAAGTAGCCTTCCGTCCGATGGCCCCGCATGCCCGGGGCATCTCTCAGGGGCGCAGCTCTCATGCAACTGAAGTATGAAATAACCATAGTAAGGAACAGGATGGTCATCACTCTTCTAACCTGGTGGAACTGGAGGGGGAGAGAAAGAGACAGGAAACAAGGGGTGGGGGGGGGGGGGGCAGACAGAGAACGAGACCGTTAGTCAAAGAGCATTTTCAATGAAGTTAGCTTATTCTTGATCCATAATGCACCATGTGAGTCTTTCTTCTTATTTACACCCTCCACTCTTTTCTTTGCACGCCAAAGAGAGAGAGCCAGTCGCCTTGGAATAATCACAAAATGTTTTCTTATTAAACTGATACTGGCGCTGTGTCATCAGTGTTTTCAAATTGTTTGCAAACTGTAATCACTCTGTTCCTATGTGAGGTCTGGCTTCGATTTTTATTTGTTGGCAGCCGTGCACAAAAGCTGTGCTGAGCATCAACGAGAGTGCTTATTACAAAAGATAAGATCACACAAATAGATGTCACTACATCCTTACAGGCTTGTTATTATTTATGAGCTTTTTACTGTTGTGTTAAACTGTACAGAGTGTTTCTAGAGCGTGCGAGGATGTGTTGTTTTATAATGGGCAAAGCTGTCACTCATCCCTCACTGCCTGAATCATTGTGTTGTCAGTTTTACAACGTCAGACCCTATTTTTTTAACTCTATAAAGGACGTGGTGGATTTCTATGTTGTTAAACTTTATGTTTATTAAGGTGAGTAGCTACCTGAACTGGTAGATTTTATAATCTATGAATGGACGCGTGTTGGGCTCCAGCCACGTGAGGGTCAATTGTAACCTGGCACAAAATTTGGAAAGGCTCTGCACGTGTTGACATAAGGATATGGTTTTGTTTGTTCTGTTTGTTTGAAGAGCTCATGCATTATCTCGTGACTATGACACTACCCCACTAACAAAATCACCATTATCAAAACTAAGGGAGCATGGCCAGTGCCGACTGACTGACTGACTGACTGAGTGACTGAGTGGGAAATGTTGTATTTGTGTCAGCTCTGACAAACACCACCGCTGCTGCAGCATCATTTATCTTTTTTAAAAAACCGGTCTGTGCAGCGAGACAGGTCTGATACTAAAGCCGTACAGTACACGTACGGGAATCAGGAGTTTGTTGAGGGACACTGTTTGTTTTTGGCAGGTGGATGGCGAGAGCACTGCAGGATGAACTAACAGGATGTCATGAGGAAACTGAATGACAGAAAGATGTGTCATCCTCCCTGCACTGTGAAGTACCGATCCCGAGCAACTCACAAGATAAGCAAAGCAGTGCCAGGAGAGGAGAGGAGAGGAGGGGGGGGGGGGGGGGGGAGAAAAAAAAAAAAGCGCCACAAGGAGCCAGGTGTAGCTGAAATACTGTACATACATCGCCTGAGCACATATGCATCCCTTACCTTTGAGAAGCTCTAAGATTCACAGCAAAAAAATCAATGAATTGATGGACATCCAAGAGCCCAAGATATAAAAGCAACCATAATGAAAAGAAAATCTAGATCTTGCTTTCCACAGGGGCTCATTTAAAAATAGCCTGACCGAGGCTTTGACTGCACTCTGCATGTCCCAACTTGATACAGGAAAACACGGCGAGCAAACACACACACTCCTGCCTCCAACTCAGGACGGACACGAGGACCTTTACAGTAAGGGAGGAGCAAAAACCCCACCTTAAATGCATTTGTTTCATTCTTAATTGGTATCAGGGGCCGTGGCTGCAATTAACCAACACCACGGTGACTGCCATAGAGATATCTTGTCTATAAATAGATGTGCTGGGAGTCTCACAGTCTCTATTCAGAATATCACATCCTTCTTCTTAATGAGCCACTCATTCCCCGAGCTCAGTGACGTGCACCTCCACAGTGTGTGAGTGTGTGTGTTAGGGGGAGGGCATGGGGAGGGGCTGGCTTGTATGTGTTTGCAGGGAGATGGGGGTATTTTTCCTCTCACCAATTAAAACAACAATGAGGGCAAAGCCAGGAATAAGGAGTTGATTATCTATTTTTCATTAAACCCTGCTAATAAAAGCATATTCATCGAGCTTATTAACCCTTCAATATTGTGAAGGCTTTCGGTCACAGTAACAAGAATTCTCTGCGAGGCTTCCCAGCACTGAAAATCATGTAGGTTTACAGGATCGAGGCCAGTCACGAGCTTTATGTGTAGGATGCATTTAGGCTGATATTATTATCAGCATCGCGCTCAAATGGTTCCACTTCCACATGACGGAAATGAAGGCAGAGGGCTGATTACTGTTAGGCGTCAAACTTCATGCTGGAAATGGTGCAGACGAAGAGTGCTGCATCTTCCGTAACAGACCACAGGGGTAATATTGCAGTAGCAGGGGGTGGAGAGAGTGCCAGCGTCATTTCGCAGCATAACAACCACGGATGACGTCTCTTCCAGGTCTCCATAGGGGAGAGAATGGAGGGGAGGAGGTTGCTGGGGGTAATGCCACTCAACAGTGTGCAATTGCATGCTGCTCCCCCGGGTATCCTCACACCGGAACAACAAATGATTTTATTTCTATCTCTGTGATTTCCTGTTTCCATCAGGACAATCAATATGGCTTATGCTCTCAATCAACATCCTGTTAAAATGCGATAAAGCCAATGAATCATTTAATTGCTGTGGGACTGGCGGAGAATCTCTGGCTTATATCTACTGGAGGCTAAATGTGACAACTGATTGGTTTGCTCTTGTTTTATACATCCAGTGAAGGAACATTTTATGTGCACTGCTGGATTTTGCAGTTAATGAAAAAGCGGCTTGCGAGTTAACACAATGAGCATGAATAATAAAGCAAAGGGAGGAACTACATATGGAGGAATGTTTGGAATAAAATGTATTCTTTCGGAGCCTCTGGACCAGCCATGTGACGACTGGTTATAAAAATATCTAACACACAGAGGTGGCTGGGCTCGGTGCCACTTCTTTCATCTCTCATCTTTTGTCTTTATTGTGTCTTGTGTTATCGTTTAAAATGCCATTTTGAAATAAAACCCAGATACATCCCACCAATCCAGCTGTGTCACATCATAAACAAAGTGTCCAAGTATGACAGTTCTTTTCACCAAAAATCACTTAACATGAGATAACAGGACGATAAAGCCCGCAATAACTGCTGCAAACACGCCTTTATGCAAGGCAACACGCCTAGAGCATGAAACACCCAGAACAATAGGAGCAGGTGAGTGTGTGGACTCTGTCTACTGTTTGGCTTTGACGTCTCTAGATGACCACCTGTTCACCTGCTTTGAGAGTGCGGCTGTATGGTGGGGATATGTAACTTACCCTCACATTTATTCTTTGTGCCAGGTGGGGATTAAAGTGATAAATACCTCCTTTGACAGATGCTGAAAAGTTGCTCTAAAGCATGAAAGGACTAGCACGGCTAGTATTATTACACATTCAGTAATGTTCCCCAGCCTCGCCGCACATGTCAGCACACTTTATGGCTTCATCTTCACGAACAGCGTGCATGATATCTTAGGAACCGTTAGAAGGGAAATAAACATCAAACAGGAGAGATGAAGGAGGGGAAATGTGCCCACTGCATTTGAATAGAAATGCGTGACCTATAGCAACATTTGCTCTCCACCGCTACCACTGCTCCCTTGTGGGCATCCGTCTTTGTTCAGTTCCTCAAGAACCGTGTTGGGTTGGAGCTATTTACCTAGCAACATGTTTTGTCACGTTCGACATGTACGGCACACGGTGCCAAATGTTCAGAAGGAAAAACAGGCAGCACACCATATCAGAATTTCTACCCGTGGACCCCTTGTGTGCCACAATGCAGCACTTAGAAAAAGGCAATTAGAGTTGTCTGCAGTAATGGCTCACACATGTGGAAGCTCGCTTCCTTGAGATCTGTTTTCAATCTGACACAGTTTCAGAGCATGTTTAGTAATAGATGAGCATCACCGAGGGATTATACCTGGCCTCCAGGCCAACCCCGGCCTCTGCCACAGAAAGGGCCGGCATTCAAATAGCTGCTGAGTGATCCGAGCTATCCAAATGAGGCGCTGCTTCCCTCCCACACTGTGTGCAACAGTGGACAATTGAAAGACTTACAGTAGCAACACATACACTATAATCATCACCGAGGCCACTCATATTCCTTAAATGTGCAAAACTCTAATTTGTCAGTGTTGCTTAAATTTCCAATTATAATCTTGACACAAAAACATTTAATTTTAACCCATGAATCACCAGCTCTGACACCAAACCACTAATATAACGAGCGAGCAGTCTTATGGCTCCAAATGAACAGAGCTGCAGTTCCACATTTTGCGCACTAGATGGCGGGTGAGACCGTGAAATAATACGAGCTCCTTCTGTTTCGCCCTCCCTCCACCTTCCTTCCATCTTTCCCTCCCTCCTGTGAAACACGATAGATAGATAGATAGATAGATAGATAGATAGATAGATAGATAGATAGATAGAACACAAGCGTAGTCTTTTTCCAGGACGCACAGCCGGTGCCAGGTTGGGTTGTGTGTAATCGTAAATACGCTGTAAAGTTCCCTTATATGCTGCTTAGTCACAACTCTGACAATAAATTTGACAGTAATGTGCATGTTTTGGAAAAAGTGCATCATTAATTCATCATGAAACCATCATCTAACCGAGCCCGTGCGTAATGCTATGATCCAGATATTTTCACACGAAGCTGTCAAAAATGCGCCAGCTTTCCACCACTCTATAAATGGGACTTTGTTTTAATCATGCTGGCCAGTAATTTGAAGTTATTCAGAGCGAGCACAAAACACCAAGAAGTGGATCCAACCGTGTATGTTGGCCGACGTTAGCTGGGCGTTTAGGTCTCGGGTTTCCTATAAAGTCTTAATGAGTTCATCAAAGTTTTTTTTCCCCTCCTCCTAAACAACCGTACCAAAAAAAAAAACTGTCTGGAGTGTTTTTGTGTGTGTGTTCGACGTGCAGGAGGGTCCGAGATTAAAAATATTGACTAACACCCTGCACAAAGAGTTTATTGAGTTATTTATGAGCAGAAAGTTGCCGTTAAATGTTCAAACGTGGCTGATTTCATAAAGAGGCGCGCTGCTGGACTG